TTTAGAGGATTGTACTCTTGATAATTTACGATAAAAATTGAGTGCTTTATAAAGTTTTGATCAATATTATGGTGATAGGGACCTGAATATAAAGTTGAATTCAAAATTATAATAATTAGATAGCTATTTTGAATAGCAAATAATATAAGAATATCATAAGCAGGTTTAAACTGTCGAGATAACAAATGAAGTCTAAATAAATATCATTCATGAGGATTGGGACTTCTATAAAACAGGAGATTTTGAGTTTGAGGCTCCGGAAGTAAGATTTTTGGAGATGAAATTAAGTAATTACATTGAAGATGACGAAAACTCTATAATTAATTTATTTCATGAGTTGGAAAGAGTCTTGGTTTGATAAATTTTGTGTATAGCAACAGGAATAATGAAAATACTTAAAATAAATATCTTATGATTATGTTATTTTTAATATGATTATTATATGAAAATTCTTCACTGCAGATGCACTGTCTCAGCATAGTTGATTAAAAATCTCATATGAGTACTTGATGCTCCGGCATGGTAAACAGCACATTTCTCTATAGAAATTATTAAATTTGATTAGATTACTTAAGCATTCTGTTTCAGACTCATTAAAATCTCTATTCACTTTTAATGCTCCACATCTTTTACTGCAATCTTTGGTTGCTCTAGTCATATAATACAATGCTTAAGCACCGACTCCCCAATCAATTTCTTGTTCTTCAGACATTCGATGAAATGTTTAATATTAAAAATATTAATACTTGATTGAATATAATTTAATTTTATAGCATTCCAATTAAGTACAAAAAGGTTCATGTGGACTGTCTCAATGGGTTATACAATATTGACTTATTAATTAAAAGATCAATAAGTTAAGTTAGTGAGATGGTAGAATTCACAATTTTAGCTTCCTCAAGTTATAAAAATGTGGGAATTGATTTAGTAACTCTTAAAAATATATTTGAAATTGGTTGAAGGAAGAATTAATTTAATTAATTAAAGAGTAGAATGAATATAAATAATAAGTATTTAAGTTTTATAGAAAATAGAATGTATACCGTGAATAATTTTTTATATATTAAAATGCAAAATAAATTATTGGATAAAGTTTAGGAGGAAAACGCTAGCAACAAAATGAGCAAATTGTTCAAAGGAGGCTAAAATGATTATTATGTTTCAATGAAAGAGGAAGATAGCCATCAAATTGAAATGAACAAAATATAGAGGAAAAAAGTGTTTTTATCAGGTAGTGAGGATGAAGAGGAAAGATTGCCAATACCAATAATTAAATAGGAAGATAATAAATGTAAGATGATTGTTATTCTATTAGAAATGTAAGTGTATCAACAACCAGAGATGAGGAAGAGTGACATTTTAGATGAAGTGCCGTCATAAGAAAATATGGATGGGTTAAATGGGATGGGACAGTTTGAGCTCTCTCCCATTAACATCCAAGCTGGAAAAAAGAAAAACAAAACAAAGAAAAACAAGTCAAAAAAGAAAAAAGTGAAGCATCAAGCATTACCATTCAATTGGAATACTTATAAATTCTTATTACACTATCCCTTATAACATTTAAAACTAACTATATTAGTGAATGTATTGATAGTATTATCAGCTGTAGCACAAATGTTATTACCTTGGATACTTGGTAGATTGATTGATGCAATCACTAAGAATGTATAATAGGCTCAAACTTCAGACACAGATCCAATAAATAATAAAGATATTCCCAATAATCTTATTGATGAAGAATTGCATTCAAAATTATCAAAACAATTTTTATATGTTTTGGCAACCTATACTGTACTATCCTTGGTACGAGCATTTGCCAATTAAATATGGTAAGAACAAATATATAATGATATGAGAGAGGATGTATTAAAATCCTTTTTATCCTTTGATTTAACCTTCTTTAACACATATAGGAATGGTGAAATTATATCTAGAATGACAAATGATTTGCAATCTGCTAAATCAGCTGTCAGTGGAAATATTATTTTACTAATAAGAAATTGTTGTTTGACAATTTTCAATATAATAATCTTATTCGCATTGTCTTGGAAAGTGACATTGGCAATTTTAGCACCTATGCCCTTGTATACTGTTCTCACAACAATTCATACAAGACTCGGAAAAAAGTTCGAAAAATTAGGTTAAGACTACCAAGCTAAACTAACAGCCTTAGCAGATGAGATAGTTTCAGGAGTAGTTACAGTAAAGAGTTTCTGTACGGAACAATTTGAAATCAAGAAATTTCACAAATAATTAGATTTAAATATTAAATTGGCATAAAAAAGAGGAGTAAATAATGGGTGTTATCAAGCATCGAGTGCTTTATTTACCTAATTAGGTTCCTTAATAGTGTTATGGTATGGAGGCAGATTAGCAATGAATAATTCAGCAGAACTATCAGCTGGGTATAATATCATCAATATTTTTTTAGTGACTTAACTACTATTATCCTATATTCAATACAATTATCTACATCCAGTTCAAATATAAGTGAATCCTTTGCTAAGATTGTGAGTGCTACTGGAGCTTTTGAAGGAGTTCTTGATATGCTTAGATGGGAGTCTCTTGTAAAAGAAGCACCTGATGCTATAGATCACATAACCCCAACAGGAGAGATTTAATTTAAAAAAGTTGTGTTTTCATATCCAAACTCTTAAGTTTAAGTATTGAAGGGAATCTCACTCAAAATTAACAAGGGAGAATATGTAGCATTTGTCGGACCTAGTGGCAGTGGAAAGTCAACAATCATGCATTTGTTAGAGAGATTTTATGATCCATAACAAGGTTCCATATATTTTGATGAAATTAACATTAAATAATTCAAGCTCAAGGCTTTGAGAAAGGCCATAGGGTTGGTCTCTTAAGATCCAGTATTATTTGAAGGAACGATAGAATCAAATATTATTTATGGGACTGAAAATTACACAAAGGATGATTTTGAATGGGCTACTAAGGCTGCAGGAGTGTGGTAATTTGTATCTGATAAATTCAAATTCCCTCATGGATTTGATACTTTTGTTGGAGAACATGGTTATACTTTAAGTGGGGGTTAGAAGTAAAGAATTGTGATTGCCAGGGCTTTATTGAAGAGGCCGAAAATATTAATTTTTGATGAAGCAACATCAGCTCTAGATGCAGAAAGCGAATTTCAAGTTCAATCTGCTATCGATGAGTTAATTTAAAAGGGAAGCAAAAATATTACTGTTCTAGTCATTGCACATAGATTGAGTACGATTGTCAATTGCAACAGAATTGTTGTATTACAAAATGGTGTTGTAGCAGAGCAGGGAACGCATTAAGAATTGCTGAACAATCCTGATGGAATTTATAGACAGTTGGTAGAAAGATAACTATCGGGAGTTATTGATTCAAAGGACAACGATGGAGATTCAGAAGCTTAATGATATGAAATTTTAATTATTTTATTTAACAAAAATATTATTAATTATTTTATGCAATTAATCAAATCATTCATATTGGCACCTAAACAAGAATATACTAGACATGAAGCGGAGTTCATTCAAAGGTTTATGAAGATACTCGAAGATGAACTCATTATTTAGCATTCAAACAAATAATCTATTTAAAGAGAAAATTGCAGCAACAAAATACCTTCGATTGTGAATCATCGATTAAGATCTTACAGTACTAATGTCTAGAGTACTAGTAAATTAAATGATTAACTTCAAATATCCAAAATTGAAAAGACTAAAAAATCTAAAATAGAGTTGCTACCAAAATTATCCATAAGATAGTTTGAATTTAAGGACATTGAAAAGCCATACAGGAAAAGAAAAATAATCTAAAGTAAAAAGAATATAAAATAATGATACTCATTCATTGATGATTAATCTTCTCCTTATCATGAAATTACTTTTTTCATTTTCGATTTATTAAGTTAGCTCTGAATTCTCTTTTCTTTCGTTTGTGAAGAATTCTAGTGTCTATTTTTTCCTTAATGATCTATTAGTCTATACACTCTTTATTCTGCCTGTATCTACCTTCGGTTTTGATTTTGCTATTATGTCCTTAGACTTATAACATTTTTATTAATTTTCTAACATCTTCAACTGTCCCAATCTGATCATCTCATCTGAATTTTCACTCACTTTTTTGGTGATCATCTACTTTAAACCAGTTATCCCCTTGTGACTTTGTTTTAAGGTAGTATTTCTTCGATTATGCCTTTTGATTGAATCTGGAGATAAATTCTGGAGTAAAGATTCTCAAATTTCATTAGAATTATAATTTATACCTTTGTTTTCAGTTCTATTCGTTAACCAAGCAAATGCAACAGATGCTGCATATTTAGTTTATATTTTTTCCATCACTAATTCTTTTCGGGTGTTTTCATCTTATTATTATTAATCATCTAAATTTCTTTAAGAATGCATTGGATTTTGTATATCGTTGGTAGGATCGGTAGATTTTGAATACAAAATTGATTACTTCTTCATTTTATCTGAGGAGTAATTCAAATTTTGCTTTAGTTTGAGTTTCCTCCTTATAACATTAAAAATCGGTTCTAATTTCTTCGCTTTTAATCTCAGAGTGGCTACTTACATCTCCTCTTTTCTCTCCAAAATTTTATCGATGAGTAAAATCCTAAATTTAAGTTGCTCTCAATAAATTTACCTTTCTTCAGCTGTAGTCAACGATTTTAAAGATTATATTATTTATGTTTTATCATTGAAATCAGATAGTAAATTATAAGCTTCTCTCACTTTTTAACCTTTGATGCCATTTTAAATAGACTTTATTACTTCTTAATTTTTCAAGCTGGCCTTCAATTTGTCATACAATTATCCTCTTTCCGAAGTTTTAGGAATTGTTGACAGGTCTCCTATTCTTGGAGATTCAACAGGAGAAACTAAAGTTGTAATACTATAAGGAGTTGGATTGTGCGAATGAACAGTAAAAGCCTGTGATTTGTGATTTGGACTATAAATTGGTCGAGACAACAATAATTAATCAAAACTCATTTAATTTTAATAATTACTATATTATAATGCAAATATTTCATTCATGATGATCTATACTTTATCGCTTCTTCCCAACTTCTTCACTTAAACTTGTTTAGAATTCTTGGAATGTGATTTCCCCATCCCCATTAGCATCAAAAAATTCAAAACATGCAATTATTTCTTCTTAAGAAATGTTTGCCTCAATTCTCTTTAAGAGTAACCCCATTTCATTTTTATCTAATCTTTGATCTGCCGATTTATCAAACTAAATTAATCAAAACAAATTTATCACTTTTTTAAATAAATCGAGCAAATTGATTTTATATTTTTAGATTGATAATTTTAATTTCTCTATAACATAATTAGCTCTCTCCTCAATAGAACTCTGAGACTTTAATTAATGAGGTAGAATAGACAATTTCTTATGAGACCCCCCTCCTCTTTACTATTATTATGGATTGGCATTTGTAACAATCTTTTAAGAAGTATATTAGACTTAATTACCTAGTTATCCTCTAGCCACTTTTTAAACTCTTCAAACTCTATCTAATTATTCCCATCATCATCAAATTTATTAAATATATATTCAATTTCCTCTCTTGTGATGTCTTTATCTACTTTTTATAGAAATTTCCCCAATTCATTTACATCTAAAGCCTTATCCTTTGACATGTCTAAATCTGCAAACAATTTATGAATATCAATTTTCTCTTTACAAATCATCTATCTTATATCATTAATTAAATATTGAGCCTTATCTTCCAATTTGTTATTTCCTTTTATAAAATCCTTAATAAAGTTGAAGGACAATTAAATACCGAAAAATATTGACTAATAGCTGGGTGTTTATAGATCTCTTCCCAGGACATTCGTTTATTCTCATCTGCTTAGAGACATCCAATAATCAAGTCTTAGGTTTCTTATGAGACTTAATTTTTGTCAGTAGGAAATTTCAGAGGTTAGGTTCTGATATTTTTAAGTAATTCTGCTGGAGATCTGGCTGTCCAGGGAGCTAGACAAGTCTAAAAATGGAATTTACTTTTGCCAAATAATGCTTCATAGAAGATAAAGCCAATGCTCCATACATCTGTTTTTGAATTGTATCTCTTGTGATCCAAGATTTGAGGACTCATGTATAATGGAGTACCAACCATTGAAGCCATCATTGTTTTTTTAAAATTATCCACACATTTTGCAAATCCGAAATCTGCTAGTTTATAAGTCTTTTATAAATTTTTAAACTTACTTATTTGTCAATTAAAATATTTGCTGGTTTGAGATCTCTATGAATTATACCATTTTTTATGAGGTGTGTAAATCCATTAAGTACATCCACCAAGAATTTGATTGCTTCCTTTTCTGGGAGTAACTTTCTTTTTTTTAAAAGTCTTAAAGTAAAATATAATAATTTACTCGTCAAAATCCCCTCCATCACAGTATTCTTAAACAATATAATAATTATTGTTTGTTTCCATGACATCTAGCAATTAGACGATATTGGGACTTTTTAATTTCTGCATAATTTTAATTTCCTAAATCAGTCCCTCCCTAAGATAATCATCCCTATATTATTAAATAGGTAAAATTACGCATTGATTACAGATTTGCTTAACATTTTAATGGCTACTTTTTCTCCAGTTTTTTCGTTTGTTCCTTTAAAAACTTCAGCATAGGATCCTTAACCAATTCTATCTTTCACATTAAAAATATATTTGTCTATTCTTTTATCTGTCATCAAAATTAAATAATTTTTTTGATTAAATATCAATATATTATTATTAATTTGTGCATTATTATCTAATTAATGTACGAAAAGATAATCACTTAGAGCCCTTCTTGGCTGTATTACTAACATAGGGTTTGGCATGGGATCCTGGTAAACCTGCTGCTCTCCAAAGTGTTTTAAAGTTTCTCTAACTCTTGGACCTCTTAATAAAATGTTCCTGTTCCTAAAAATTCATATTTATCCTTAACACCAGTTGGATTTTATTATGTTAACTAATCAAAAGTTATGTCCTTTACCCAGCAACAAGAATTCTTTTTCTTGCAGTCTCTGTAAATCCTAATGCACAAACATTGATCTTTGGAACATTTAGTAATCGAATGCTATCAAATTGCTTTATTCATAATAATTACTCATCCGTGACAGTGCCAACAACAACCAATGTTCTAGTTTTGTCTTTAGCTGTATTAATTAATTTTACAAGCCTGCTTATACTAATTGGATATTTGTCTGTTCTAGTTAATTGAATTCTTCTTAAAACAGTTGCATTAAAATTAGAATCTGTTCTTATTGCTCAGAATTTGTATAACTAATATAAAATGCGAATAATCGAATTACTTTTATCAATAATTTCAAATAAAGATTTGTGGATGTTATTTTTCTAACTGCATTCTTTACACTCTAGTCTTTTTATAAGCATCAAGTCCCTAGCGTTGGATTATGCATATTAGCTACTATTATTAAAATAAATATAACTTTATTTAATTTATGGTTTAAGAAATCAATTCTTTAACATTATTATCAAACGAAATAAATTACTCATAAAGCCTTTCCTTTAGCTTTTTTTGCATTCCCTTGGGGAATTGTCTCCTTATTTTATTGCTGAGGTTATTCAGGTTTTTTCTACTCTTCTCCAATTGATTCACTAAAATAAATTATATAATACGCTGCATTCTTAGCATTCAAATTTTTACTACTTTTGTTTTTGCGAACTAAAAATAAAGCTCCTATGATTCCAATATTAAAAATTATTTACAGATATTCTCTATCAATATCCCTAATAAACAATTATAATTTTCAAATACACTTATTTTGAGTAAATTAAAGGATTGTGAGCATATCCAGTAATTATCACTGTTAGAAATGCTAGCAAATACCCAGCCTTTTGGAATCCTATTCCAACAGCAAATCCAAGCAATGTCTATGTTATACCAAAGCCGAGGATTATGTTTGGTGTGTATTGAATAAAATTAGCTGGTTTCTTATTTATTAAGTTATTTGATACAAATGTTTCGATATTCTCTAAGGGTGATCCAATTAGATTTTTTGCATATGCATAAAATACTGGGTATCGTATGTTAACATAGTGGATGTAGGAATCTTAATGAAAAAATTAAGAGAATCCTGCATGTACATACAAGATGGCCAAGAGGATTCTGCCAATATATTTAGATAGCCTCATTAATATATAATATTGAATTAATTATATTAAGTCGTTTTAATGATTTTAGTACTATTGGTAAATCTAATTTTGGCAACCGGTAAACTAAAGTAACATCATTTGAACCATTAAGTGATGTTTAAAAGAGAAAATGATGTAGTTGTTTTAGATGCCTCAAATTTTGATGCAGCATTGATGAGATTCGAAGTATTATTAGTTGATTTCTATGCACCTTGGTGTCCACATTGGTAAATCGATATGTATATGTAGCCAAAAATTAATGCCTTAATTTGAGGAAGCTGCCACTATATTAAAATAAAGAAAAAGCAAAATTAATTTAGCCAAAGTTGATTGCACTAAAGAATCGTATCTGTGTCACGAATCTGAAGTTAGAGGATATCCTACTCTTCGAGTTTTCTATCATGACAAAAGGTTTCCTTATCTCGGCGACAGAACCTCACATGGAATTGTAGATTTTATGGAAAAGCACTTAAAGTAAGAAGAAGAAAAAGAAAAATAAATGTTGGGATATAGACATAGACATTAAGAGGACTTACCTTGAACCATAATTATTTGAGCAAACACAAAGTTAAAACATAATTTAACAAAATCATGGTGTATGTTCTTCAAAGTTTTGTAACTCTTGTTCAATCTATGCTTAATCTTCATCACCAACTGCATTTCCTATTAAATCTGTATCATCTTGTAACATTTAGTCCTCAGATACGCCTCCCCTATTTATTGATGAGATTATCTAGAATACATACAACATGATTATACATTCCAATCCTTTGAAACTTAAAAACTAACGACACTTCTACCAACCTGAATAGCCATGTTATTATTCGTATCAACTGACATCAAAGCAGGTGTTTTTAATAGAACTAAAGTTCCAAACTTTGATTACTAATCTTCAATCACAAAACCAGCTATTATTATTCAGATAACATTTACAATTTATAAATTTAATTATAGCATGGCATCTAGATACAGATATATCTGTTATCCTTACATCTGAATCATGACCTCTTCCTAGTTTTATTTGTTGTTTCTATGCAAAACTGATTATGTGAGTTCCTTTACTCTTGTTACGTTCTCTACTCAAGATTTCCAAAGTAATGTATGGAGCATCAGGCTTGGGTATAATTATGGTCTCAAAAATTCTGTCCTGATATCTTATTCTACCTAGATATCTAATATTATCATAATTACTAGGAATAATGGCCTTACATACTTCGCAATCAAATTATCTCCATTGAAATGAAACCGAAAACTTGGTTGTTTTAGGGGATAGCTTACTAACTAACCATGTTTATAGACATTATATATGTATGTATTTAACAGATCCTTAGCATTTGCAACAATCAATCAATGGATTGTCCTTATTTGTTTAGGAATCATTGTAGCATATTCTGCAACATGGCTCCTCTGATTGACTTCTTTTATCATCTTCCTAAGTGTGAATGTTCATTGTATTTAAACATTTCTCTGAAACATATTTCTACAATTCTGGTTCTAAACTCCCTTTATTCGCACTGTTATTATCAACAGAACATTTGATTTCTCTTATTCGAAATCTCACTCTCCCCAATTTCACATAATCTCCTTCTTTTAAATCATATCCCTTTTATTAATCATTATTATTTCTTACTTATCCATCGGATAATTTACTTTTGGTTGATTTTACAACTATCCATGGGCAGTTGTCATTCAATCCTTCTTGATCTTCTGCCTTCGAGATCTTCAAACTAGTTTCAACTTAATATTTTGAAAATTAGCGTGTCAATTTAAGTAATTCCATGACATCTGGCTGATTTTAGAATTACTATATCAATAATCTTATTTGCTACTTATAACTCTTCTTTTGTTTAGATAATTTTTATATTTTCTTTTTAACGAATTAATCTCACTAGATTAAGTTGCTTAATTACTTAATTATGTATTTGTTTTGATTTGACCTTTTATAACATTCTTGTTTTCATAATCAAATAAACCATGAGAATCGCGATTCCAAGTGAAATGTTTTATTGTTCTTTTATTATTTTTAAAACATTCTTACAATGAAACAGGTGAAACTTTGTTTGCATTTCTGATATCATCCTAACTAGAAACACAATTCCCCATTTATTAATTTTATATAATTATATTCTTTCAAATAAATTATATATGAAACTCTTTATAATTATTTAAGAATATGGCACCTAAATCGAATTAAATTTATGCAAAAAATGTAAATTTAACCACAGAACCTTCTTCTTTGACTATTGTTAGGAGAAATCGATAACATTGTTATTATATTTCTGCTTTTGTTGTGAAGTAAATTCCAAATTTAAAAATCGTCCTAAATAAAAAAACAAAATACACAGTAAAATCAAAATCAATATTCTTAAATGATTTTCATATATTGTTAAATGTCAGAATCAATATTCTTAATAAAAATCTCAAATGTTATAACCAATGAGTAGTGGTGTAGATGCAATTTAGAAACAACCAATAAATAGAAGGGTTGCCCATCACGTAAACATTTCCATTTCTTCAAATATTGATTTGTAATTTATAGCTGAAATTATCAAAAAACATTATATAGATTACTTTATGTTAAATTGGCTATTATACTATTCTAAGTCATAATAAGAATTAAATCTGAAAAGGATTATAAATATTCATTTATATTATAATTCATTTAATAATTGTTGAGATATAATGAACTAATGTTCAAATCTTATTCATTTGAATGATTTATGATTTGTTGATTAAGTGAAAAAGGAAGTGCTATGAGAAATACTATAATTATTTACGCAAGAAATATCTAATATTTCCCATAATTACAAATTATGCTAGATTACACTATTTTTCTACTTATCCTGTATTTTATTTAAGATTTCATGGATATTGCAATTGCAAATTAAGATTTGGTAATAATTGAAGCAGAATAAATATTATAATATTATAAAAACGAAGAGAGATAGTAAGTTGACATAGGTTACATAGTTAAAAATAATAATATTAAAATCAGGAGGGCAATATCATTTAATGTTATTCTTCAATTAATTGCATCATTTGAGTGTAGGTTGTTGTTTTGATGTAGGGTTTTTCATTGAAAAATTGTTTGAGCCTTTCGTTTTGAATAAAGGTCTGATTTTTAAATAGAATAATAAAGTCTAATTTCTCATCGTATATACTATTTACAAATGAACCTCCTCTAGCTATTATTCGAGCTTTAAAAGTTTCCAATTCTACATCAGATATTTAGTGATTTAAACAATAGGGATAGAAAGACTTATGTTAAAATATCCATAATTTTGGTAACTAGTATAATAATTCTTCTTCTAAAGATAACAAATCATCTTAATTCACAGTCTCATTAATTTTCATATTATCACAAATATCTTTAAGAGCCAGATCGTCAATCAATTCGAAATAGGAATCGCCAAACCTATCATAGAATTTATTGACTTCATTCATGATAGCCAAAGGGGCAAACAAAATAAATCTGGGTGCAATATTAACTAATTATGATCTTCTAATGCATTCAATAATCCATTAAGGTCTAATAATAGTAGTAGGGAATTTCTCAATAATTGAATTTACTCTAAAATCTATAATCGAAGCCACCACATGAGTGACACTTTCTACAATGTAATTTTATATGCAAGTTCCTCCTTGGGCTAAAACTATAGATTCTAAATATTATTTATTATAATCTTCTTCTAAATTCACAATAAAAAATTCGCATCCTACAAACAGGTTGGATTCTTTTGTGATATTTCTTGGATCTAATCCTTGATATTCTGTCATTATGGTAATCTATTTAGAATGGGCCCCACCTTTCTTTAAGGGTTATTTTCTCTATTTAGCTTATCTAATAGGTCTATCCTCATTTTCAACCTCATCATCTGTTTATTTATCATTATCTTCCTTATCATTCTTTTTTTTGAGATTCTTTGTGTATTATGAATCATTAATCATACTTGATAAATCTTGCATGGTCATCATTTCATACCAATCTTTATCCATTCTTGTCTTGTAACATCTTGGAAATCTAAGGGTGTAATCAGTTGGGAAAGTATTCGACTTTGTGATTTCTGCAGCTTTAACTTCAAATATAATAGAATGAGCTGGATTATTAATATATACATCTGGTCTATCATTAACTCCAGGATTCCAATTTTATGGTATGTAATTAGGTTTCTACTTCTTAATCCAATGATTTCTTAATTTATTTCTGATTGTTGATAATTCATTATCAGTGAAACCAGTTCCAACTTTTACAAAAGGCAATATTACACTATTAGTTGGTTGGTTCTTATCTATTTTTTAAGCTAATCCCATTAAGAAATGTGTAATCCTATCAAATTCATCAAAAGTCTCCACTCTATGTGATTATGTTCCAAAATACCCACCAATTACCAATAAATCGCAATTATCTGTCATATTTTCAACGTAATCTCCTTTCATCTTAACCCATTTAGTAGATCTTTCATTTGGTAAGTATTAAGAATCCATCTATTTAATTATGATGCCTTCTTAATTTCTTTCAATGGCCATATCAAATTATTAAATAAGTTCTTCAAAAGATTTAATAGTTGCAGCTTAAACTACTTCTAATTAGTTTGGAATAGGTACAATAATTCTTTATAATAAGCTTCTTCGAGTAGCTAAAGGAGCACTCATAGTGTTGACTTCTTGCCCTTAGTATGTTTTGAGATAAAGGATATCAAAAATCTTATAGCAAAGACCAAAGGCATCATCATTTACGTCTTTACTTAGAGCAACAGTTTTATTCAAACCAAACCTAACATTGTCTCCAGTTTCTTTATTTACAACTATAATTTCTCCATCCAAAATTGCACATTATGCTTAAACACTTTATCTTACAATATCTCCTAATTTATCCTTATATAAATATGTGTAATCATTGGAATTTCTAGTAAAAAATCTGATGACTTCAGGAGTGAAATGACATTATATTCTTTCTCCATCAAACTTGGTTTCAACCAATAATTCTTTGCCTTCAATTAACTTTCTTATTTCTTCAGGTGATTTCTTAGCCGCCAACATTGGCTTGATGGCATGAAATATTCTTAACACATTTTTAAGAGTGTGGTTTTGATCAACAAATTCTTTACATACTTCCTTTAGCGATGATGTTGCATTATAATATTCAGGAGCATCTTTATGAAACAATTACAAAAGCTTCTCATATTTCAAACCTATTTTTAAGTCCTTCAATATAATTCTGATTATCCAGAGTATCTCATCAGCTGTACACACCTTTATTAAATCAACTATCACTAATTCCTATTCTTTAGTGTCTTAAGCTTTAACTAAATTGTCTAGCAATGAGTCCACTTCTGATATTGTTATTATGCTGTCTTTTCTGCAATAATCCTTAATCACATTATGCACAACCATGGGAAAATCACCAACCGGAGCCCCATAGGGTTACATACTTGCTTATTTATAATTGGCCATTCTATGATAATCATCATCTGACAATCCTAAGGCAGATCTAAATAATTTAGCCAGGTTCTTTTCTTATAATTTATAGACTCCTCTATCCCTATCTTGAAATGGAATAATTAGCCTCATTATTATATAAGTGTGTTCAGGTATTCTAGGAGGTTTAAAAAAGAATTAAGTCAAAACATCCAGGAGCTCACTTTTCTTCTTTCCTCTTACTTTACTCATCCTATCAAAAAAGCATCTCAACACATCAAATTTTACTCTTATTGGACCTACTGTAGAATTTACATTCACTTTTTATTAATCCTATTATTCTTTGTTTTGTTTGTTGGTTTCTTCTACTTTCTCCTTTATTTCCTTTGCAAACTCATGTACTTCTTTCTATTCTCTTCTTTCTTCTTCTTCGTCTTAAATCTCTTCGTCTATGAAATTCTCCTGCTGCATAATCAGAAATTGATAAGAATATAATTTTTTTATTGAAATTTGATTAATTGTAATTTTTAATCATGTAATTAAAAGTAAATTAATACTCATATAAAATTTAATAAATTTTATTTACATTTTATTGTTCTATTATGAATTTTTGTGAATTCATCTAACTCACTGTTGAAAGCGAAGATAAATTAGAGGAAATAAGAATAGCATTGGCTCGTTTAGAAATGTTTGAACTTAACACAGGTATCCATCTGATTGTTATATTGAGTGTACAAAAGACTTGATTAGCCAAGATAAAGTGCATTGAAAGAAGACTAGATAATTGAATTTTTGGACGATAACAACGTTTAAATTAACTAGGACGAGTTAAATTATATTTTTAGAGTTTTGGATGTTGATAGAGACAACTTTATAACATTGGCAGAGTAACTTTTTATTCATTAATTCAAAGTTTCTAATAAGTAATCTTACCAAAAACTAATGACTAAGTGAAAGACCAAGCACTGAATCATAAATCCTATGAAATGCCTTAAAGTATGCTCTTACCAAAAGAGGTTGAAGCTACGTTAACGGCATTCTTCGAACAATTAAAAACCAACTATAAGTAGGAATTGTTTTCATTTTTAGCCAATATCAAAACATTTCAGATCCAATCAACCTTGGTGAATTAGGTATTTTCGAAAACGAAAATTTAATCACCCAAGATTCCCTTAAAAATTGGCTACAAACAATTGAATAAGAGATTGACGATTAAATTCTAGATAAATTCCTAATCATAATTGATGGAAATCCCAACAACCTCTAAAATTTGATTGATTAAATCTATTAATAAATAGAGTAATAAGAAAATTAGCCAAATGAAGACCCAAAATAGGCCTAAGAACAATAAGGGGAATAGCCAGCAGAAAATCAAATAGAAGTTCAAGATGTTAATTACTCTTAATAGGATTTGTAGAAGAGTGATGCTCTCCAAGAATCATTTAATCCTTCTTAAACTTAAAAATAGGAATAGAAGAAAGAACAATAATAAGATCAAATAGCTCAATCAAAAGTTCTATAAGAGAGTTAGTCTTATTAGGCAGATAGTCCTTTGTTGAATTATTACCATTAACAAATTAAGGATGAAGAAGATAAAATTAAAAAGTTGTGTGAAGAATTAAACATTCCTAATATCTATACATAAAAGAGAGAGGAATCAACTTTGATCAAATATTATGAAAAAGAAATTGCTAGAGAATAGGAAACCTATAATAAACTATTATCAGAATCAAAAGTATCAGGTGCTCCATCTAAACTATCGAAGTCCAATTTCACTCCAGATCCATTATACTTAGATGAATATTAAAAAGAACTCATTCGCATTGATAATGAAATCAGGAAGGAAGCAACCAACCTTAGCTTACTCTAATCAAAAGTTGATATAAGCAGTGGATTATCAACCAGTTATTTAAAGTAATATTGAGATTTAACTTTAAGGTATGAAAGTCCAAGCAAAATTTAAGAATCCTACCTTTATAACAATCTTTCAGGATAAAAGGTATATATATAAAAGTTATTTTTTATAGAAATAATTTGGTTTATATAAATGATTATTCATATAATTATTATCAATAATTTATAAAATAATTCTCAAACTTAAATCAATATAATGATTAATTATTTTGTTGATATTCATATTTATTATATTGTTGCTGCACTTTTCCATTCTTGTTATTGTTTGAATTATTATTTTTTTTTCTATTTACATTGTTTTGTTAATTGTTCATTTATTAATTTTGATACTTTTAATATTAATTATTGTTGATCTATTAATATTGATAAGTATTCATTTATTAATTTTGAAAACTATTCACATTAAATGCATTCATTTATTACAATTACTAGAGATTATTTAATTACACATTATTAATATTAGTTTTGAGGGTTAACGGATCCATAGCACATTTTGGATCCAATAGTTTTTTTTCAATTTGATCTAAATTAATCAAATATTATTCTAATGTAACCCATTTTCCAGGTCCTTCCCAAGAGATATTTAACTTTGCTTTTAAATATTAATGCTCAAACCATTGATCCATATTTTCTGTTGTAAATCCTCCTTAAATCTAAAATATGACATTACAAATATTTTACCTTTCCAGAATTATCAATATAGTACCACAGAGATTCTTTTGGGGATCGTGAATGCAGTTAGGCTTAAAGCGAAAATGGAGCGGTTTTAATTTTTTCCCTTGAAATTTTAATTGTAGGTTATGAAGGTACTTGTGATTTCCGTTGAATATGAATTCCCATCTCTTCTAATTACTCTAAGAAATCATCAGTTTAATTGTTATTGAAATTACTAAAATAATCCTCTATTTTTTATTGAGGTTACTCAACCTTGATGGGATCTTTCTATTTATTATTTGAAGATGCCAATGCTTATTTTTCAACTTCTTCAACTGATAGGATTTTTGTGTTGATTGAATTATTTAACTTTGGCTATTCTTGTTCTGAAAAACTAAATAATTCCTATAATTTAGCTTTGGTTTCATTGGCAACCTATAATTGCTTTTCTTCTTATTCTCTCAATTATCTATATTTTTCTTTCGCTTATTAAAGCTCTGATATTTCTTCTTAATTGATTTCATTTTACTTTTTAGATTTTTCTTCTTGTTTTTTTTCAAATGTTCCATGTTATTTTTAATATTCTATTCTCTTTTTTTCGATTTCATTTTCGATATCAATGATCTGAAAATTCTCATTGGAGTGCATCCACTGTGGGTCATCTTCATCATTATGGGTGAATTAGGTTGAGGATGAAATTAGAGGTTTTTACGAAATTTTGGTAAAAAGATGAGGTATTTTGTCTATGAATTCTTCTAATTCTTTGGGTGGTTATAATAATTCGTGATATGCCGAAATTAATGTTTAAGAATCATAAATTTTATTTTATGGTTGATTAATTTGAGCTCGTGCTGATAAATATTGATTGTACAAATACCTAAAACAGGTTAGGATGGCTGATTATGGGAATTCTATTATTTTTCTTAAGAATTATTTCTTCTGTTGTATTTATTTTATTTTTTTTGATTTTAAACATTTTTATCATCAAAATTGTTTTGATTGTTATTCATCTATTAATAAGATCATTCATATTTACTCTTCTATAAGATTGTCCTTGGCCTTTTTGGTTTTGTTAGTCTTTGCATATATATGAGAGTTGTTATTGCTATTATTTTGACATTAGTAAATAATTATAAATTAATATTGTAAAAAGAAGCTTGTTATCAATTAATCATTTACAATGAAACGGGAATATTTTGGATAGATGCTAACTTGGAATTTGATGCATTCTTATCTGTAGTTTTTTCTTTGGTCTGTATCCTAATTTGTATAGAACCTTCATTTTAAAAATCTTCTCATTTTGATTCAACTCTACTATTCGATCCTAAGAACACACCTGCGGTCGTTTAGTTATATTTCTTCCTGATTAAAAGTTATTAATAAATGGTTTCAGAGCCCTAATGTGATTGTTGACTGATTAATCGATGTAGGAATCATCCTCTAAGACTTCTGTCTTAATAATCCTCCTTGGATTGTTTATTATTTATTTTTAGTAATTAATTAGAGCTTGTATCTTCTCACAATATGAAGGATCATAACTTATAGACCGATTTTATTATCTGTAATTATTGATGCCATTGTCATTGTGAACATAGGAAAATGATCTAATTCCTTTATGTTCTTAGGATGGACTGTCATTTGAATTTAGTTGACTAATTTGTTACTCTCGATAAATGTAGAGTTTATTCTTACTTAATTATTATTGGTAATAGAAGAGATTTTCAGCTTAGACCTTTATGCGATGATTCTTTAAAATCTAAGTAATTTAATCCAATTTTAGAGAATACAAGGATCCCTCATATGAATGACAAACAACAGTGTATTTATAATATCCTTTTGGTTCAACATCCAAATGTTCTATTCCAAAGGTGTCCCCTTTTTCTAACAAACAAATCTCAAATTACTTCCATTTCTTTAAATAAGAAAAAACAGGATTTTACTGCAGTACTCTTTTACTCATCTCTATGTATTAATTTATTTGGTTACTTTAAATTCTCCTGTTTTTACAATATACACACTCCCCATCAACTCATTTTCAATGTAAACTCTCTAATTTTTAATAAATTAAATGACACTAACAGAATCAATAATAGCTTTGAGAATATCAAAGTGCAATTTGTTAAAGGCAGGATGATTACGAAATTAATTGATTTTATCTTAATACTCTTATTTAAGTCTATTAAATTGCATTTATTTTATTATGATAATTTATTATGTAATATTTGATGTTTTATATTTCAGGGTGAAATTTAATAAAATTATCACTTTACTAAGTTTATCTTTGGACAAAAGCCCATAATTCTTCGATCATAAAGAAGAATGGACACTTAGTTTCTGGATAAATAGTAATATCAATACTTTACATTCTGATCTCATTCTTAAAAAGTAGTGCAAATCGTTTAAAATTATTGAATTGAATCAAAGAATCCATAATTAATAAATTTTGAATTTCACTTAAAGAAAAAGATAGACTAAATAATTTATTTTAATACATATTAGACATAAATAATAAAGTAATCATATTAAAAAAATGTTCATCTATGAATTTTACTCTATTTATCAAGTATAAGATCTTTGTAATTTTTCATTATTATGAGTACATCTGCTTCTAAGTAAGTATAGGATTCTTTTATTGATAATATCTAATCATTATGAATATTTTGAAGTTTATTCATTGCAGCTATTGTTGATTCTAGTTAGATGAAGGGAATTTTCGAATCATCGGACAGTCTATTAATTTCTTATTGATGATTGCTATGATATTTAAGATTTCATACTTTATTTGAGCATTTAGTTATTAAAATTTAGTCACAAACTCCTTGTAATATTCACTATAATTATTCAAGCTTTCAGAATATTTATCCATTTGTTTAGTATTTTGGATCAATCTTGTTTCTGCTTCTTTTAATGCAACTTAGACTTGTTATTCTAGTTTTTTAAATGAGATTTCTTCTTTCTGGATTAGTTTTTGGAATTAATCTTGAAATTATGAGAGTTTCTTTTCAAACAAGTTTAATTTGGAGAAAGTAGTTTCTTCAGTTACCTTGTTTTTTCTTTATCTCAAATTCGAAGCATTATTATTGGTTGATGATAGTTATTCATCATAATTATTAGTGCAGGTTGATCTTGATCTGCTTGGTTTGTGAAATTTAACTCCCGTATCTCGAACAGATTGATCATCTATCATTTCAGAGATTTAACTATCTTGCCGTTTGTATTCATGCAATAAAATTTCATCTTTGAGAAATGGATTGCGATATTATTGATGTTTGAGTTGATCAATTTGATATGAGAATTTAGTCAGGTTATCTTTATTATCGATTCTGGTTTCAAGTTCAAAGAGTTTATCTTCAATATTTTTAAGAATGGAACGAAACAATTGATTGCTAACAAATTATTCATTACCGGTAATATTGGCATCATAATATAAGGAGATCCCCAATTAATTATATTAGGAATGATGGATATCTTCTCTTTCAAACCTACTGGAATTTGATTATGATTTTCCTCTATAATGATCTTCCTCATTCTTTAAAACTAAGTCTAACAATGTTAATTATTTATTTTAGAATTTGTGTGTTTACATGATAAATAAATTAATATTATAACTATTCAGATATATTAATAAAAATTCATGATAGTTTTGTTGGTGATAACAAAATTGGTTTTTCTTTTCTGACAAATAATATGATCAATTTAACTATTTAATTAACTAATTTGAATCTGATTTTGATTTGAAGCATCGTTAGGTAAAACCACTTCAATGGAACCATCTAAATAAATCAATTAATTTACTTTGAGTGACTACATAGACTTTTAGATTATTATCCAAAGACAAATAGAGTGGGAAATCATTCAAATTGACAAGCAAGATGATTTATTTTTTGTTGTAATTTCTGCCATAAAGATATTGCAAGGTATTGAGCACAGCAAAGTAAACATTATCAAATCCTTGTGCAGGCACAATTGAAGTTTGAGTGTCAACCGATTAATAGAGAGCCTAGGTATCTTTTTGAGATTATTCATTGTCCAAATTACCATGTGGATTTTCTAAGAAATTAATCTGATCAAAAAGAGTAAATGCAAATTGATATTATCTGGTTGAATTGTAATCTACCTACAATGTTGAAACCACTCCAGTGTCCTTTTCTATTGCAAAGATTACTCTCTTTTCACACTGCTCTACCAATTAACAAACATTTGGTAATTCTAATGCCTTGATATATCTGATGATATATTCTTGATTCTTATAGAGATGTTCTAAAAAGAAGAGTTATCCACTCTCATCCAAAACGAATTTACCTGGAATTGAGTCAAAGATCCCAAAAACACAGGAAATTATTTTATCAGGTCCTCCCTTTCCAATATGATAGTACTAATCATAAATATCCAATCTATCAATGTGAATAGTCTTGATTTAACCGAACTCCTATATAAATACTATCTATTTGATTTGAGCATCATAAAAAAACTATACAATTTCCTTATCCCATTGATATTCAACAAGTAATTCAGCTGTATCCATTCTCCACAACTTAACAATTCCTTAATTGAAGGTGGTGACTAAAATATTGTCTTCCACTAATTTGCATAACTGAATTTCAATCTCACTTTGATCACAATTTGAAGCATTCAAAAGAAAATATTGTTTTGTTGCAAAGGATATCAAATAAATATTGCCATTGCCTAATCCGAAGATTCCTTGGGTGTAAAATGGATCCAACACATATGATGTAACCATTGCAGGTAATTGGATTCTCTAAAAAGCGAATCCAGAATCTAAGAAAGATTATAAAGTCAAAACTGCCTTGATATCCATAATGAAAAAGGAATGTTCAATACTTCCTAAAATTATCTTGCCTGCTGCTTACCTCACTTTAAGATAAGTGATTTCAGCATTAGTAATCTATTTTCTATATATTGATTTAAATTCTCCATATTTCATTATCACTATTTCCCCTGATTTTAATCCCAATATCAGTAATTATGTAATTTGATTTTTATTTTATTATTATTATTACTACTATTATTATTGTTTCATCGATTCTTAAGTTGGTTCTTGTTGTAATTAAGGAAATGACATTTAATTCTTAGAACCTTCTTCCAACAGTATTTCTTCAGTTTTTACAGTTTAGGATTATTAACTATTATCAAATGAGGCTCTTTCTGATAGATTTAGTGATTGTGATGTTTATTTGTTTTTACTACCCTCATACACTACATAATCAAATGTAGTGATTTCTTCAAGTTCATTTGTATTAACATTCTTAGGTAGAAATACATCAAAATATTCTAACTTATGATCTTTGGTAAAAGCCCACAAATATATTTAATCTCTACCGACTGTTGCGAATTCTAAGATACGTTCTTTAGAGAATGAATATTTTGATATTTTAATATCATTAATTCTGTCTAAGGTATATGATGAGGTTATCAACTTTTTAGTGGAGAAATCCCAAATTACAACTGTGCACTCCTTTCCATTTCCTACTGATATTAGGTACTTTTCATCTTCTGTAAGCAAAATTTAATGAACTCCTTAAGTGTGAAAGTTCATCTGAGCCACTTATTTGAATCCCAATTGACTAGCATTATTTTAGATTTCATAAACATATATAGGAGCAGCATCCTGTACCTTCTGTGCAAGACCAACAATCAGATGCTTCTCAGTTTTATCAAGGTAGATGACACTCACAGTGGCATTAAAACTCAAAATTTATTATTCTCTATCCTACTATAACTTTTCAAAAATAACGTAATTTTGAGATGTATATGCATACCAACCATAAGATTAGCACCATATGATATTATCATGTGTTTTTGTATTATAGCCAACCATATACTTACAAGATAGAGTAGGTAGTTATTATTAACCTTTTTATTGTGGCAAAATGTATTATCTGAAAGGTAATTAGGTAGATTAATGTTATCTATTTTATTACTTCTTAATTTGACTTCTTGATCTTCTCTTATTTAATATTTATCTTTCAAATTCAAAAGCGATAGGCTTAAATTCTTACTACAATCTTGATGGTTTGAAGTGATCAGGCTTAAATGGTGTGTTGACATTTTTGTTTGCCAACCCTTATTCTTCCTCTTATTCCTCCTTCTAAGGTATTT